CTCCGGGTCAGGAGGGTCGTCCTGCCTCAAGTGGAGGAGTTTAAGTATCTGGGGATCTTGTTGAACGCCTTGGAGTTCCCCCGGAGGAGCTGGAAGAAGTGGCTGGGGAGAGGGAGGTCTGGGCCTCCCTTCTGAAGCTGCTGCCCCCGCGACCCGACCCCGGATAGGTGGAAGAAAATGGATGGATGGATGGATGGATAATAATACCAAGGGAGTTACAATTATAGACAAGTTATATAAAACTTCTGCTACTTTTAACTACCCATGCAAACGACGGAGAGTAAACTAGCATTTTCCAACCATTCCCAGACTCAGATTTCCGTAGAGGAAAACAAGCAGAGTAAGCTTCTTTTTAAACTTTGTTTCACCTTCTCTTCCTCTTCCTCCTTGACTGCCCCGGTGTCCTGTGTGTGCAAAAGTTGTTGCAACACTCATCAGATTGGAAGAAGAACTGGCTCACAAATCAAGTGCTGCCAGCTTCGCCCATTTAAACATACACTGATCAAATATACAAACATTTAAAGCAAGACATGAAGGTTAACAATTGTCTTTGGCAACACTGAAACACTTGGCCCACTGAGACAACAGCTGCTTGTTTCTGTCTGATCGTGAGTCATGGGGTGATAGTTCAGGACACTGTCTTTAGTAATTTTGACTTTCATGCAAGAGTTTTAGACTAAGATCATTTTATGTTGTAACATAAAAAAACCATTACAGTCGAATTTTGGAAATATTATGCTCAGTCTCATGCTATATCACATGATGATAGGCTCATCATATGTACTGTGACTGACTCAGCTACAATCAGAACAAATTTTAACTCAATATCTGTAAAACTGAACTATAGCCATTTTTGTCTTAGCTAATGTCAGTGTCTAACGTGGTGCATCTGTGGTAGCCATCTTAAATTGGACTGGCTTCATAAAACAGTAAATGTTCATCCAATGATTTCTCTTTGAAAGTTGAATTAAAATTCACTCAGTGGATCGTGAGTTATTTGGCTACAGGACAAACATACAGACACAAACTAGCAAAAATATATCAATTACCGTCGCCTGTTTGCGGCTGACCAAAAAAAAAAAAAAAAAAAAAAGAAATCTTGTAACTGAATGGGGCCAAAACATGTCATCCTCAGAGGCAGGGCATCGCTCCAGGCTGCTAACCCATTCTGATAGCACCGGATTGTCAGCCTTGCCTCTGTGAGTTCCTGCTGAGGAATGTGGCTGGTCGTGTTCCACCCCTATCAAAGATGTACACAGACAGCTCCCAGTCACGAACACAGCACCCAGTAGAACGCCACACTCAGTAAAGAACAATGAGAACGTGTTCAGGCTGAACCCGCCATACATCAGGTTTGTCAAGAGTTGGTTCGGTGAGTCGTGTCATAATACAGACTGACAAAAAATATAAATAAATGAGTTTTATTTTCTTATGCAAACAAGAGTGACTGGATTAAACCTATTCGGTTGCTGGTCTCACATGTAACTGTCAGGATGACTCAAGTTTTCCTGTTAAATCTTCTGAAGACACGCCAATGATTACTTTTTATTGCCCAAGTGTAAGGCAGGCAATAAAGGCTTTCCTTTGTGTGAGAGTGCAGTGAATGAAACCGCACCTAATCATTTGTAACAGCTTTATTTTCCCCATATAAGATCTTGGTGTCAAACTGGCATTAAAAGGCAGTGACATGCATTCCTTTTAGGATTGTTTATAGTTCAGTGTCCAGTCAGTTCTGTACTTCAGTATAGCATCATAATTTGATAACAGAACTAAAAGAATCATCATGTCAATTGGTACAAAATTTCAGTTTAAATGTGTTTCCATAAATTTGTCTACTGTGGAAATCTGATGAACTCTTATTAGACCATCGTCTCTGGTAGAAACAATTAACTTTAACACAGTACTGGGTTTCTCCACCAGTTTAAAAAGGGAAGGTATCATGAAAATCAACTTTTTTGAGCTTTATATCATGTTAAAACGTCATTACCTCATGAAAAACCTATCCAGAGTGTTGCTTTGACTCATTCATGCATGTTTGAGAAATCCTTGAATCTCCTGTGGTAGCCGATGTAGAGCTGCCTAAACACTTGTTACAAAGCTCCACCTATTTATACCTAGCTCCTCCCTGTAGCTTAGTCTGCAGCTGAGCTCCCGCCCCACAGAGCACCCATCCCCTGAAGCATTGTTGTGAAGACGTGCTGAAGTGGGAATGATGGAAATGGTAGGACGTTCTGAAAGAGACTTAATCCAATTTCAAAGTGTTTAGACCAACTGTAGCTGCGTTTCCATTGACCATGAAAATGTGTAAATTAGAATTTCAAAAATAAATTTGCTCAATGGAAACACGTCAGTTTTGAAAAAAAATTACGTTTTTCGACTAAATGTTTTTGCGCTAGGATGAGGAGGTATTTCGGCCATATTGAAATTGGTGTTTTTCACAAAACTGCAATGGAAACACTTTTTTCGCATCACAGGAGTCACGTGATCAACAACTGGCTGTTTCTACTGGTGAAAAAGACGATGATGAAGAAGATAACAGGAAGTAGAAGTAGTAGTAATATCACAGAAGTAGTATAAAATAGTAAACTCACCAACTACAATTTCCCAAAAACACAGCATACGTAGCCGCTCCCAAGTAGGGACTTGTCTCTGGAAAGCCTCGATAAAAGACGCCGACGTCTCCTCTGATGATG